ATTTTATTTTGTTTTGCAATACAACGTTTGCCGGGTCAGCTAGTATTATATGGGATTTTATCAGTCAACCTAGCTTTTATAGAACAAAGTCTGCTTAGTTTCAAACTAGATGGTGTTGTGTGTCAGATATATTTATTAATTACTATTCATTTAATTTATCTATAATATGTATGTATTTAGAAAGATAAAAGTATATGCATAAAGATCACTCAATAGCGCTGGCGCTGACTGACGTCGCGACACGGTACGGTTTGATAAAGGATTTTATTTCTGATCCAAGTTCTTTTTTTCTTTTTTCATATTTTTAAATGTTTGGAATTTATATTATTATAATTTTACCTTTACTACGCACAACATCTTGGTCTTGGTATATATGACATTCCACAAAATGCTGCAGTATAATTGTATCGAAATTAAGTAATATGATTTCTAAACTCATTGACATAAGGATAAAAATAACTTGATTGGAAATGAAATTCATAACCACCTCACCGGCACCAATCCGAAGGGCGAAAAAAAGGACGGCTTCATCGGTATTGCACGCGGGCGGTTGAACAGCTAGCGGCGGCCCTGCGCTGCCTTAGTTTTGTACGTGAGGCCTCGGGTTCGATTCTCGGATCGGCAAAATTTTATAGGGTTTTTCTGAGAGGATTAAACCTTTCAAAAACAGTTAAACCAACATTTTAACAATACTAACAAAGAACACGAAAAAAACCTAGCAGAAATCGCGGTTGATTTACTGTCATTTTTTGAAGAGTTCCGTTGTCTGTCTCCAAAACTAATCATCAGATCTATATGAAATTTAAATGGGACCATTTCGGAATAAATACCTTTCGAACAAAAAAATAAATTTGAAAATCCGTCCATATATATGACTTGTACATAAGAAAAATTAACATCCAAATTGACAACCTTGAAGTTGGTTAATAAATAGCCTAAGCTATTTATATATACTATACTACCTGGTAGTAAAATATTATCGAAATCGGTCCAGCTGTTTAGAAGATTACCCGGAAGAAACAGACAGACAGACAGAAAAAAAAAATTAAAGCATAAAAAAGTGTAAGCATGAAAAAGCAACTTTTTTAACATTACAAACAGACATTTCAATTATATTTATTTGTATAGATACTTTACATAAGAACCAAACTATTTGCATGTTCAATTAGCTAGTTAACATGTTTTTTTGATAAAACTGTTAAATCTCCATAAAATTCTTAAAGGATAAGTATTATAATTGTTGTCAAACCTTTCTTTACAGTGTATATTCTGTATATCTGTGTGTATCTGTCTGCAACTATAATATTAGTTGTCCAATATGCTGTTGCACTAATATAATATTTGCTTGTTACCAAAATGAAAATGTGCCAACAATTAATGTCAGTGATGTCAGCATATTTTATTTCATCTTCTGATACTACTTACATAAACAACACACAGGCTAACAAACAAGTACACATTTATTGATCACTCTTAATAGACTGATCAATTACCATAGTTACATATTAGTGTTATATGTACTGATGCCTATAAACACTTTTAATATTGGAACCTTCAAACAAATACTTCACTAGTAGCATTATTTCATTGGAGTCTGTTAACCAATCAACGGAAGACATATTTAAATCGCTGAAAGGAATAACTCCAGCATGAATGTACAAAAAAATACTAAAGCAAACAATTTATTAAAAAGTTAAACCTCTGATTTTCAAAGAAAGCAGATTTGAGATTGTATTCAGAAGCAGATTGAATTACATTAAAGATTTTAAATGGTACATTGTTTTTATTTTGGCATTATTCAATCCATTGTTGAAAGCAACAAGAAAAATTAACTTAAAATATTGCAATGTTTTTGAAATTTGTTTTTATAGCTCAATAATGGATTGAATAATTCCATATTAAAAATTTAGTTCGATTAGAAATGTTTAACTTTCCACATTTAGCCTATTTTTATGAGAACCAAGAGTGATAATTTCTAAAAATTTACAAAAGACAAGTACTATAAGTGTTTAAAGCTTATGCTGTAATGACACTGTATAAAGTAGAAAGATACAAAGCCAGTTGAATAGTGCCCTACCCCTTCATTGTGTAAAATATACCTAAAACTTGTATAACAAAATCTGACTCCTGACAACGTTTGATGCCTAATAGGTGAGATATGATGAACTGAATCATGTTTTATATTGTCCCTGTTATTCATACAAATAGTTGCTAATTACTGATCATTAAAACTGATTCGTTTTTGATAGTTGGTGGTACTATCATTTTATCAAAATGACATTATAATGGACAATGACAATGGAGAGAATTTCATAAGTAACAGTTTAGGGAAAAAACACAAACAAAAGAATACTATAAGAATAACAAAGAAATATAGTTGTGCCCGAATGAAGGCTTAATATTATTATTATTTAAATGATTTATGTATTATTTTCTCTCATTTTCTCAATTTTGAAAGGAATCCAAACGGTACTTTTATATAATCAAATTAAAACTGATTTCTCATAAGCCTCAATGTTAAATGCAAAAAAAAATTGAAGGTTCAATATCTTTTCACAGAATCTCTGTAGTTTTTAAAAAAAAAAAAACTGATTTTTAAAGATTTGTCGTAAAAAACATGTTTTAATGCACTTACATTGCAAACGCATAAACTAAAATAATGCACTACGGAACTGTACATCTTAAGTAAATAGATTTACAAAAAAGTCCGTGATGGTATATGTCTATCTCCTAAGGATAACCGACAGTAACCATTTTTATCTTTTAAATATTGCAAATAAGTTATGGGTTATTTACGAAGCTATTTTTAACAATACATTATTATATTTGTTATCTATTTAAATACGTTGTGCATTTAATGTACAGGGTGGCCCAGAAAGACCGAAGTGGTGTGAATTGCTTATAACTTTTTATTTAAGAGATATTTTTTTAATTTTTTTTTTTTTAAATACATTAAATTTATGGGGAATATTTTTGGATTAGTTATTAAAAATGATATCCCGCAAGTGGTGGCCATATTCTGCTTCGCACAAATGTGCTCTTTCCAACACATTTTCCATGACCTTTCGCAAAACTTCCGGTGGTATGTTGTTAATTTCTTCTCGAATATTGGTTTTTAACTCCTCAATAGTCCTAGGCTTATTAACATAAACTTTTCCTTTTAAATAGCCCCAAAGAAAACAGTCTGGAGCGGTTAAATCCGGGGAACGCGGAGGCCAATTAAAATTGCTGTTACGAGAAATTATTCTTTCACCAAAGATGTCGCGTAAAAGAGTCATTGTGGCCCTCGCAGTGTGCGCTGTGGCTCCATCCTGTTGGAACCATATTTGCGGATGGTTTTCCACGGCTGGCCTTACAAAATTTTGCAACATGGCCCGATATCGATCACCATTGACGGAAATGGCGACACCTTGTTCATTTAAAAAAAAAAATGGGCCAATGATCCTTTCTGAAGAAACACCGCACCAAACGGTACACTTAACTGGGTGCAATTGTCGTTGATGAAGTACTCTCGGGTTTTCCGTAGCCCATATCCTACAGTTTTGCTTGTTAACGAACCCATTTAATTGAAAATGGGCTTCGTCACTCATTATTAAGTTATGAATAAAATTTGGATTCTCTTGTGCTTTTTGCTGGAAATAAATTGCATAGTCAAGTCGTTGCTGGTAATCTGTTGGTTTCAATTCTTGGACAAGTTGAATTTTGTATGGAAACAATCCTATGGTGTGCAAAATTCGCTGCAGCGACGTTCTTGAGAGGCCCAGTTGTGACGAACGTCTCCTGGTTGATGTTTCTGGATCCTCCCGAATACTCTCCTGTACCACTTGAATATTGTCAGCCGTGTGGACAGTTCGGTGTCTGCCGGGACCAGGAAGGTTCCTTACTGCTCCTTGTTCTCGAAAATTTGCAACCAGACGGTTTATTGTTGACTGAGAGGGTGCAACCCGCACATTAAATTGACGACGGTATGCACGCTGAGTCAACACAATGGACCGTTGATTTGAAAAGTAAATTTCAACAATTTGGGCACGTTGTTCAATTGTGTATTGCTCCATTATAAATTATCCAAGTCTTCTTTACAAAATACTGAAAAGAAAAGAAAAAAATTATAATAAAAAAGTTATAAGGAATTCACACCACTTCGGTCTTTCTGGGCCACCCTGTAGATTAAGATTGCTCTTGACAGCATATCATTCAAATGAAGAGTTTAGAAGATATTAGAGGTTTTAAAATACGGGGGCAAAGTGGACGTCGTCGCTAAAAAGGTCCAGGTGGCAGCGGCCGGCATAATCGGAGCGGGCCTATAAATATTTGATATAAAGATGTCCTGTAGTATAGTCCTATCATAATAATAGTAAAATTAATTACTCCATACTGACACCACATTAGTAGTATTACTAGTATCTACATTGCACCCGTGCAAGCCGGGGTGAATCGCTAGTTTACTGATATACCAAATTTAAAAAAAAACGGTAACTCTGACTGGCAGTAGTTACAACTTATTTTATTTACATTCCAAAGGTGGGAGAATTTTTAGCTAACTCAAAACGAGGTTTCCTGGTGAGGGTCCGAGGCCCCACTAAGCTTGGGGGCCTCGGTGTACAGCACCGTCTAGCCCTTCGGTAGCGACGTCAATGCTGAGGACACTAATAAAGAAAGCACTTTGTACCAAATTCAAACCGTTAATGATGGATGGAGGGTGTAAGGACTGGTTTAAGTCTAGTTATTTGTTGTTATACATCCATTTAACACAATTACGAAATAGCTTTAATTGCGAAAGAGCCTTAATAAAAACTTACATTCAATATGCCAAATTGTATATAATTGCAAGAGTGGTTTTGAAAAGCTAAGTGATATTACTTGCAATTAACACACATTTACCTAAATGTTACATTAACCTGAACTACCTAGTTTGAAATAAATCTGACGGTAAAGACGACATTATTCTTATGTTAAAATTAGATTAATTTGTTTCAGGGTTGTTTCGTGGGTGACAGGATATGAGCTCTCCGCCCGCTGTCCAGTTGGAGGTGGAAGTTGGTGACGAATCTATGGAGGACGACACTACTGACATGATTCCTGCTGACAGGTAATGAGACAGATGATAAGACGAGACACTTAGTTGTTTAAATCCGAATATCAGGCAGAAAACATAGTTTATAAATCTGATTGATTGTCCAGCTCTTCTCTTCATAAAAAAGACATAGATTAGTTTGCTCAAACGAAGTTTTAAAATTTCTGGAGTTCTTTGTATAGTCGAGGAACTTAGGTCTTGATAAGTCCCAACTCACATTCGCCACAAAAATTACGTTTATGATGCGAAAAGTTTTGTTAAAGTGCTTTTAGTTGTTTCTTGATACACATATTAGTTACTGAACTGTGTGAGATAATAAGGTCTCAGTACGTATCTACAGAAATAGGTGAACGTTTAAGGTGAACGAAATACTATTTAATTAAAACATTAAATCTTACATAAAATAACTGATATAGTCTTGATATATTTTTTACAAGACGGTTACGAGAAAGCTAAATATTTTACTGTAGCTCCGTGTTCGATTAGATTGATCGAATAGATCAATACAATCGAACACGTGTAACAACAAAACATATAAAGCAACCCATGACCCGGAACGCACAGTATCGTCTTGTTGTTCATTGGAAATATAGCTAATATTGATTTTTAATTAGCCTTATTAATAACATTGATAACTTAACCATTTTAAAATAAATAAATACTTTGATATGAATAATTATAACGGTAACACTTGCTCTCTTTGGCACATTGTTAACTCAATGGCAAAGGCGACGAGAGACATGTCGACTCTCGCACAGGGCCTCAATTCTGCTATTTTATGTTCACGCCAAGCCAGTGTCATAAGACTGACACGCTATTGAGATGCCATCGAGTGGCCATTGGCATCGGTATAAATATCGGTAGTTAAAAATATATTACGTTTTTTGAGGAAATGATTTTTTTATTTTTATTATAATAAATTATTAAAAGAAGTAAATAAATAAAAATTAATTATTTAAAAATAAAATTATAAAAAAAGATATAAATAAGTTATTAAAATAAAAATAAAAAATATATTAAAATTAATAAATAATTTCCTTATAATTTGAAAATATATTACGTTTTTTGAGGAAATTATATACTTATTTTTATTATAATAAATTATTAAAAGAAATAAATAAATTAAAATAAATTATGAAAAATTAAAATATAAAAATTATAAAAAAAAGAAATAAATTATTAACATAAAAAAATAATATTAAAATAAATATGTTTTCAAATTATAAGAAAATGATTTGTTTATTTATTTATTTTTTAATTTTTTTGTTTCAATATTTTTTTTCTTTTTTTATACTTTTTTTTTTAATATAATTTAATTTATTTATTTCTTTTAATAATTTACTATAATAAAAATAAATAAATAATTTCCTCAAAAAACGTAATATATTTTCAACTACCGTATTTATACCGATGCCAATGGCCACTCGATGGCATCTCAATAGCGTGTCAGTGGTATGACACTAGCTTAGCGTAAATAGCAGAATTGAGGCCCAGATCACGTGTAGATCATGCATTTATCTATTAATCGGAGGTAATAGGCCTGAAAAAGGCTTAATGCTTGTGGTTGTTAAATAACTAACCACTTATACCATTGCCCCGTATCGGCGGTCTCATATAAATCAGTGTGTTGTTGAATCTGGAAATAATCTCTGGGCGAATATACGAATAATAATATACGAATTCTATCGTAAACACACATCCTTTATGCTTAATTTAAAGGTCAGTTTACTATTATTTCATATATAATATAATATAAATCCAATAAAACTTCTGTCACATTGAATTAAAATTACCTTGTCCCCTTATAATCTATACTTATTAGATAAATATACAACTTTAGCTTTGATAGCTACCGAGTAATAACTTTGCGCATATCGCTTCTCTGCTTCAGTAATTGTAGCAATTTATAATAAAGTAATTACTAGATTTGCTGTTAAATAGGCGAAATAGGGTCTTAATGCATCGTCTGAAAACAGCTTATTGGCAACAACGCGTGAATAGGTAGTAAACCTAACCTACGTCCTAGACATGGGACAAAATCACAGTGAATTGAGATTTATCATTCGATTTTTGCGCACGTAGGTTAGGGTTGCTAGGTAGGTAGGTTAGACGCTATTTAACAGTAAAACTAGTATTTTTTTAATTATGATATATGTATGGTAGCTATATACACGGTGATTTTGAAAGCGTTTTGGAAACGAAATATTTGAATTTGGAATCATCTATAGTACCAATAAAAATGATTAAATCAATTGTAATGTTGTCTAAAAAAAAGTTTCAGTTTTAATATTCATTTTTACTCGATCGACTTGGAAAGTAGTAATGGACTGATCGTTCATTCATTATCTTATATGAATGAAACACGTCCGTGGGCGTTTCGGCGGCCGCTGCGCACCGCCGACGCTAACAGCAGCTGACAAAACTATACCTATAGGCGCGAGCTAGCGAGTACTTAAGTAGATAGACTCCAATTTGTCCTTCATACTTTACACGGGCTTAGGACCGTCAGAAATACCTATTTTATTTAAACTTCTTTTCGATTATTAACCACGATTGTTCTTTTCACAACAAATCAATTTATCAACGGACTGTAGGTATAAATATTTCAGGCGTATTTAAAAAATCGGAGCTATCTACAGAATAGTTAACTTACATACCTATTTACACTATTTACAGTTCTCTGTATCAAAGGAACTGCTCAAAATGGAGTCCGCTGCATTCAATACACAAACGTCCACGTTTAATGCAATTGTTTTTTAATTTTCTTAATGTGTCTCTATCACTTTTCACTTTAAAGCGTCCACTATCGCAATGCTTAAATTATCACGGCTTTCATATTCCCGTGTATTAACAAGTCTTTTTATTTCCGACCATAAGAAAAAATCCAGGGGCGTTAAGTCCGATCACTAAGCTCATTGTCCAGGTATGCACGCACTACACTCCGGCGAATAATAATTAAAACGTCCTTGACCTTGCGCATGAGTAGGCGCACGAAATTGTCCGTGGTCGAGAAGACGTTGGGTTGCAGCCAAGATGGTAGGTGTGGAGGGAATTTGAGGGCTTTTAATTCCACGTAGTCGTAGTGCATTTAAATGCTTCGGCTTGGGAATACAAACGCCGAGCCTCTTCCAAGTTGTAGTTGGCAGTAGCGTACAGCTGTACCATTGCCAAGAAGTATTCCACGTTTGAAAATTCGTACTGTCGACTCATTTTAGCGCTAATCAATGCAGCGTGCCGTCACGATGTTATGGTATTACTGACCGACTGACGATGACAGGTGAGCCCCGCGCATGCGCCTACGGGGCAGACGTCATTGGTTGGACGACTCCGGCGCAACTCGGTAGCTTTGTTTTTATTGGCGAATACGATTTGATGTGACTCGATATTAAAACGCATAGTATTTCTATTCGTAGTATTTACCTACGTGTGATTGAATAGCCTACTACTACTGGTTCTGACTTTTTCTCTGTAAACGATATGAATATCGACTTTGATGATAAAAAAAAATATATTTTATTAAATTAACGTTATATATAGCTTCTGTTACTGATAAATAACTCAAAATTTTCTTTTCCAAAACGCTTTCAAAATCACCGTGTATAATAAAATAATTACTAGATTTACGTCAGTAAGTAGTAACCCTAATCTCCGTACGAAAAATTCGAATGATAAATCACCGTTCATTTACAGTTCGCTGTGATTGTGTCCCTTTATTTTATTATTATTTTTTTACGGTGTGATATGTGAATTTTATCACAATGTTGCTGAAAAAATGACTAGAGTATTGCTTGTTACAAATCCTTAAATGAATAATAATAAGTATGTATTGACCTATATTATTATAACTCTAAGAAGTACATTGCTGCATTGACATATTTTTATCTAACTTTATACTTAATGTTTCAGTGTCAATCTTGATTCTGATTTTGATAAACTACGCTGTATAATTTTGCATGCCATACGGTAGTAGCACTTGAAACATGTCATTTTCTAACACCATTGTCACAGTGTTTTCTGTAAAATAAATAATTTGAATTTGACGAAATAATAAGAATTTTGCTTTGTGATATTTCAAGTTGCAACGTTGTATACGATTAAACTTTTTCTAAAACAAAAAATAAGTTACTCATCTTCTGATGTTCCGCTTTCAAACAACAAGCAATAATTTTAACATTTTAAATTCCTGAATATGACGTTGTTGATGCTGAAACAAATAACAATTTGTACTTATTTCCTTAGGTGGATCTTGTGGATCTTGCATTGGCAACAGAAAACGCGACTATTCTTACGTTGCAGGACCAAGTGCTTGTACCTGCCTATTTGACTAACTGACTGCTAAGCCGGAGGTCGTGGGTTCGATTCCCACCCAGGACAAATATTTGTGTGATCAGCACGATCGTTTTTTCTGTGTCTGGGTGTAATTTATCTATAATATGTATGTATTTAGAAATATATAAGTATGTTTATCAGAGTCTAGTTCTCATAGTACAGGCTCTGTCTAGTTTGGGATCAGACTGCCGTGTATGAGATGTGTTAGGTTTATGTAAATAGATTTAATTAATTAACATTTCATAGAAGAAAGTTCATCTTTATAATAACACCATTTAACATTCTTCTTAATAATAACAAATATGATAATATTTTGTTTTAATGTCAAATTTGAAGGTTAGCAGTATTGAGTTACGTCCCGTCCTTCGTTCAAATTCGTGTTAAATCGCGGATATTTAATTATTAAAGTTTATAAGTAAACCTACACGTTAGAACTCGTTTCGTTGGTGAGTAATCTTTACGATTGATCTATTGAAAATATCAGGAAAATTAGCATCTAAGCGATTAAATGTGATAACCTAGTCTTGTGCGATAAATTAAATATGTGAACTTTAGTAACAATATGATCAAAATACTTTTGTTAAGATTTTTTAACAAAACGGAGTGATTTGTAAAGGCTACTGGGACTACTAAATAAGTATTTTGAACTGTTATTAATTATTTACCTATTGAACATACAGGGAAAT